CCCCAAAACCCCAAAACCCCAAAACCCCATATGCTTAAAAGCAAATTGATAAATTTTAAAATATTTGATGAAAAAGCATGGAAGTTCAGCTAACCAGCAAGGTAAGCTTCCAAAAGACCAGTAGAGGTAACTAGTATAGACCAAAAGGATAGCAATCAAGACTGTGATAAACAAGACTCTCATCATAGTTTCCTTGAAGAATTTAAGCCTGACGGTCATGCCAAAACTAAAAATTTTGAGTTCACCAGGTTATACTCACCAACTTTTGGCTATCAACATAAGCTTTTTGAATTTGATGACCAGAATGTTCAAAATAATGAAATTTGAAGAGCAAAAGAGTAAGTCCTTGGCTGATTATGGATTTCACCAACTTCTTCACTAATGCTACGTTACATTTTACTCTTTAGACTAAATCATCACAGTTTTGGCATTCAGCCAAAACAGCCAAAGCACCAAGAGAAAAATGATGCTGAGGGTATAAATTTCACCTTCTCAGAGCCTGAGAGCCCTGCAGGATTTCTCAACATCCAGCATTCTCCACTACCCAATAGGCTAAACGATCTGTATGCCGATCAGTGGGTTAGTCCTGACCGAAAGATGCTCCAAGAATCGTCTGATTCTTTGCCAATATTTCATTTTGCTAAAAAGTCGGAAATTGATAAGAAGCAGGTGAAGAAAAATACCAAAACAAGCCTCGGTAAGCTGATCAATTCTTATGTTACAAATATTTCGTGACTACTGGTGAGCGAATTTTGTTTATCCTTTCTTTCTGATCGAGATGGGTATACTAGCAATTCGCCTGGAAATAGATTATTCTTTTGGATGGAAAATAGGTGATGTTATCAGAATTCGAATATACAACATCACTGGGATGTGAGTCAATTCTAACTTTAGTACTATCGACATGGACTTAGTGGATTAAACCATCTGATATTGGTCTTTGGAATTTGGTTGTAGCTATATTGAGTTTCTTTTTAATTTTTCTAAACAAATAAGGATTCGTTGAAATTTCTGATATGCAAGAAAGCCCAAGAAACAAATCTTGGCTGTCTTTTAGACAAGAGTGCTATAGTATTCTCTCTTTTCTTTCTGACCAGTACCTTTGCTATCAGCCTTTTAGAATGAATGATTTTAAGCTTCTTTCATAGATTCTTCAAACAAAAATAGGAGAGAAGAAAAGAAAGAGAAAGAGAAGGATTTTTATTCAACAGATATAGAAAGCAAGATTAATAAAGTAAGCTCTTCCAAACCATTCACATCCCCAATTTCCAAATTCATTTACTTACTCCCTTCTTCTGGATTATCCCACTTTAAACCTTCCTATAAGAAACGAACGGCTAAAGAGATGCACAAATCAAGCCACAAGAAAGCCAAAATGAGAAGAAGCTTAAGAAGTAATAGGAAGAAAATTGACTATATGTGTAAGTTTTGGTAGAGTGAGGAGAGGTTAAGGAGGTATAGGTGAGAGAGGAGGGTGAGATTGACAGAGGAATAGGTGAATACAGAGGTATTGTGACTGATTTGCAGCAGGGAAGGTGTGAGATGAGTTATGAACGTGTAAAGAGTGAAGGAATTTGGCTGAGAATGAGGATTTGGAAGGGTTTAGAGAGGAGATTATTCAGAAAGAGCCTGATGCATTTGTTCCGAAGTTTTATACTTCTTCAGTGTCTGTACATGTAGAGTCGTCAAGTTCCAGATTTACTGAGAAGCATCCGGAAAATAGATCAGATTTTGTCATAGGAATGGAAAAAGTACATAGGAAAGGATGTAGATGTAAAAACTCAAATTGCAAATTAAACTATTGTGAATGCAAGAAGAATGGAGCCAAGTGAACCTTACAATGTCAGTGTCTCAACTGCAACAACGGGAAGCTCTAGGATAGTGTTAGGAAGTAATAATGTTAGTAATTTTAGATAAGAAACTTAAAACTTATTATAATACTACCAAGGTACCAAATTTCATAAACTTTAATAGCAAGGGTCTTATTTAATCGACCATGTGGTCAACCAAATATTTTAAGTTGGTAATTTTGTTTGTTTAGATATCGATAAAATTATATGCAACTTTTGATAAATATTAAATATTTCAACCAAAAAGTATACTTAAGGGGTTTTGGGGTTTTGGGGTTTTGGGG